TTTGTTCCTAAGGTACGTCTTAAAATGTGATTCAACTAGCCTCATATGAAACTGACAGTTTGTAGAAAGAGTTTTGTCGGGATGGGCAGGTATCAAAACTGTCTATCAAAGAAAAATATGGACACCTAAACTATGTCCGGAATGATAGTTGCGTTATGACTGAACACATGGAAGTTGGGAGATGTAACTCGATTACGAATATGAGAAGAATACTTACTTGCTATTTTTGCCATAGACTGAAGTACGGGCACAAAGTGAACCCTACAAACGGAGACGACGACGAAGAAGGAACTAAGAGGTGGAGGCACATGGAAAGGATGCTCCATGAATCTTTTTTTTTTCTACAAAGTATTGCAACTTGGAACTAAGATGTATCACGCTACTCGATGACCGGCTCAAAAAAAAAGAAAAAAGGAAAATAAATCCCAAAAAATGTTTTCAGAAATACTACTTTCAAAATTAAAACTGAAGCCGAAACTTTCCTGTCGATAGAAACAGAAAAAAAACAAAAAAACAAAAAAAAACACGCTTTCTTAAGTTAGCACTAAACAACACTAAAGCCAAAATTTTTTTGTGGATTGAAACGAAAAAGAGTAACCAAAAAATTAACATATAATGGCAATTTTGAAGCATAAAACAAGGTCATCCAAGTAGCAATAACGTTTATTCTGAAACTGATGAAATGTAAATGTGGCAAAGAAATCCTTTTTATTAAACTGTGTATTGTTTTTCAAACGTATTTTTGTTCAGTTCATAGAAAAGAGATTGAATTTTGAGGAGAAATTTTATGGACGTTAGCAAGATATCAACTCTTTACTTAAAACGACATCACAGTCCATAACAATCTGAACCAGAAGCCTGTGTAAGGGGAATTATCTAAAGTCTTATTCTTGTCCAAGTCATACTTCCCAGAGTCTCAATAACATTTCAGCGACTATTCTCCTTCAACTCTGGACTATCTCCACGATGGTGTTTTCTGTTCCAGGCGTCCCATCCGAATGAGGAGAGTCAGAGAAACGCTGTGGAGCCAGGAAAAAATGGGAGAGTTCTGGGAAAAAAAAGGCTGTCATAAAATTATACGAGATATGTGCAACTTGTGTGATTATCCAAGAGTAAACGGCTTTTGGAGCTTTGGTTCTTCCGCTTGCTTGTATGTATCATATGACATGGATGTGTATGTGATGCATATGAGGTTATTTGAAGAGTTGGTCTGAGGTTACCATTGATAAACCTGGGTGCAAGGGTTATAAGCGCACGTTCGTCTCTTAAAAAAATAGGATAAAAGGCTGGAAAACATTTCCTTCGTGATTTTTGTGCATACTGTCAAGGTTATTGACAACTCAGGAACGGATGAACCCACTTCTGCTTCAATAACAATTATTGTTCGAGGGCGCGCCGAATATGAGCTGATAATTAACGCACGAGGCATATAGCATCGATTTGCTTTTAATAATCTCATATTCGGCGAGTCTGAGTGAAATAATTGTTATAGCATAATCGGACTCAAAAATAACTCAGTCAAACAGCTTTAATTTGGCTTGACAAAGTCACCTTACCTTCACTGCAACAAGACAGTTTTTACTGAAGTACATCACAACCCATCATTACTGGAGTAAGTTACTTCTAAGGTAGTTAGGGTAAAGGTTAAACACGAAAACTTGATTTTTCTCCCATTAATTTGAATATCCAACCATATTATTTGTGTTATATCAGTATTTAACAGAGAAACAAAAGTAAAAGTGAGTGAAGCATCTTTAGAATTAGAATTTGACTGATTTGATGAGTTTAATGAAGTTGTGCTTAATCAGCTTTTAAACTCTTTTTGTTTACTAAATGTATCCATGGCGGCAAAGAATCGAATGCACAATTTTCTCGATCTGGTGAATACAACCTCACCGCAGCCGGACACTTCCAGCCACCTGAATCAATCCAAGGCAACTGCAACTAAATCAGCAATATTTGACATATTTGGGGAGGTTATTTCTACCCCAGGGAACGAGGAATCTTCCAGTTACTCGGAGATTTTTACGGTAGGCTCACCGTCGTTAACAGGAGGCGATTCATTGGAGTAATCGATGATTTGTTTAGGTACCGAAATGATTCGAATTAGCGCCTGAGACACTTATCCACTTATGGTACCTCTAGGGAGGGCGCTCATTAGGGACAGAGCGTTATTTCTATTTAGAGAAATCGTAGAATGTGTGATACAAAGTTTTTGAGTTATTTAAAGAACAGTAGCAGAAAAAGTAAAAGTGACAAATATACATCACCAAATGTCCACTAATGTCCTTAGTGAAGGATGGGCTCTCGTCCTTCTTTACTTTCTGGCTACTTGAGGACTTCGAATTGGTTTTCTCTATCTCAACACCTGTTGCCATCTCCAGACGCTCACGAAAAACATTCACACAGTGCTTGGTATCAGATTGCTAACATTACACGATGGACGTTTTGTCTTTCACAACCTCGTGGGAGCTGAAAGGTTGTTACTACATAGCTCCTTACCGCCCATCAGCGGTATTCTTGAGTTCTACCAAACATTTCCCAGCAGACTCAGAGTCCCTATAGGTTGTCTCCTTATCAACCCAACTGAAAAGGACTGGCTGTTTCCGCACTGATCTGCCATACTGGATACGTGCTGTAAACTTGTATTTTATTTGATTCTTGTGTAACTATCAGGTTGTGAGGAAAGGCAATCCAAGGGAACATGATTAGGCATACCAAAATAAAGACACAAACGCACCATTACTGACAATCGCTTACACTGCAAATGAAACTGACAGTGATGAAGAATCTGGTGGTTTAATTTTACACAGAGGCTTAATAGTCTTAGAAGTGGATGAGTTAGTACCTAAATTCACTTGTTACAATTCAGGGAAATATTATTTTAATCTCTTCGATTTTAATACGGACGTCATATTACAAAGATGCTTAATCGACATGTCGTATTAAGTCAAGATCATTTGAATCAGAACTTTTTTCGACTGAGATTAAGGGCTCGTATAGAAGGCAGTAGCTACAAAAATGTTACTGGACATTTATTCCATTCTGAGTTTTCATTGCAAGATGGCATATTTCCAAAACCTACAATAACTTGTTTGGAACTGTACAAGACACAGAAGACATTGCTTAGATAGTCAAGTGAGCCCAATCCTCGCACATTCCCTATCAAAATAACATATTACATAAAAATAATCAGACGTGTCATTGTTAAAGTACATTCAAGTACTAATAAGGAAAAAAATATTTCAATCAATTGAAAGTTCTTAAATACATATAATTGATGCCATTAGAGCTCTGTTCTATTTCTGCTCCGCCAATCTTTTCAACAATGTGATATTTGAACCGTAAATTGCGGATGATAGAGAGAGCAAATCATTCAAAGCCTTGTGGTTTTCTATGGACTGTCGCCAACTTTACTTTAAGCATCATTACACCTAATTTGTAACATTAACGTGACAGAGAAGCCAAACAATGATCCAAGAGTTTAAACTCAGCAGTTAAAAATATTTAACTTAAATATGAAAAAGCACAAAATCACCTGCATTAGAAAAATAAACACAAGACAGCAGCACGGACCCTACCTGTAAATAAGTCTTTCAAGAAACAGAAATTAATGTACAGCTCTCAAATAATACAAGGGAAACTACTAGTTTTTGATTGACATCCTCGTCTTCTAAAAGTTAAGATATGCTCATAGCATTTCATTACAGAGTTAACTTTTTTCATCAAACGACAGGTATCATACAAGGATTCGATTCAACACCTTTCTGATTGGAGGAAAATAGTAAGGGAAAATTTTGTCTGGATAAATTTAGCGGTGCAAGATGGCCGCTTTTTTTAGCTGTGCAAGATAGCCGATTTTTTCTGTCTCAAAGTTAATTCTTTTCGCAGGAGTCACGAGTCTCCAGCGATCAGTTTAAGACGTGGTATTTTACGTGAGTTTCTCCTATTTTTCTTTAGACCTGACACACTAAGCAGGTTTGACTCCCTAATCGGTTCTTCCTTCTCTTTTTGTTCATGTGTTTATGTAATACCAGCACTCGCATTTTTTATCGTGTTCTCACCTTTGCTAGAGCTTAACAAGTAGAAACTCCCTAATAATTAATCATAAAAGGTTAATTTTGAGACCAAAAAAATTGGCCATCTTGCTCAGCCAAATTTATCCAGACACAAACTTCCCTGGTTTGTATTTAATTTAGCGTTCTTGCAAACAAAGCTCGAGGGTTCACCTAGAAATCAACCAAGGTATATACACAGGTATAATTTCATAGTTCTATACATTTCCAACAAGGGAGACATAGAGAATGAGTTGATAAAGCCTTGATGCTTTATCGAAACGGGCCCTTGGCTCTTCATGATATTTTGAAAACAAAGATTTTAACGTATTGTAAACTCTTTTCCAAAAGCGACATTTTATTTACACTTCAATTAAAATTACAGCAAAATTTTTAAAAAATCTTAATGTACATAGAAGGTTTTCTCACGGAGTGAGGCCTTGTTTATCACAACATCACGCTACAAGGTCTGCAAGGGCCATGAAGGAGACTGTCCACTTTATTGTACATTGTAGGAGCTCTATTGTGGACTCAATATTTCGCTCCAAATTATTAGGACCCCTTGGAGGATCCATAAACATGCTCTCCATCTCGCTGTACTTTACTTTAAGGACCCGTGTATATAGTCCATTTCACTAACTCCATTTAGGTCCCTTTCAGGGATTTTATCTTGCTGAGGATCATTAGGACCCATGTATAGACTATACATTTTACTACAAATTATTAGGTCCCTTTTGGGGACTCTATCTCACTAAGGATCATTAGCATCCATGTTTAGGTTATACATTTCGCTAAAAATTATTAGATCCCTTCAAGGGACTCTATTTTGCTATGAATCATTAGGACCCATTTATGTTCCTCTTTCAGACTCACCATTTTGCTGTATGCATTTTTTTCCTCTATATGAACTAGTTCAGGTAGTGTGTACATTTAGTTGCGCTAAACCGTTTTAACTGGTTTGGCATTATTCAACCCTGTCGGACAATCTACGTTTTTCTTGTCTAATCTTACAACACGACATTTCAAGACCACTGTTACAGACTCTCAGTAACAACAGACAATTTCACAAGGCAGTTTTACCGATTACAAATAATCAGTCATACTAAAAAACAAAATGTTAAAGATATCTCGTAACTAGCAAACAAGGTGCATAATACAGAGAGGAGTTTAGACTTCCATTGAGAACCATGCATGCTGGAGAACTTGTTTAAGAGTTGGTCGCTGATCTGCTTCGGGATTCAACAACATATAAACAACGTTCTTCACCTCTGTTTAAAAAAGGAAAAGATAGATGATTATTCCCTTTGGACCAGACTTTCACGGAAAATCCTCTCGAAGTCCCTGTATCATCTTTAACGACCTTTAGGGCTGTGATCTCTCTTAACTGAAGGGAAATGATTCGGAACCCAAAGATTCTCCCCTTAGTTGATTGATTAACTGGAGCCAGCTCATTTATGTCAAGGCGAAGTAGCTCCTGAAATTATCCACAGAGAACTCGAGTGGTGATAACCAATAATGACCCAACAACAGTTTTCTTTACACCGTGACCGTCAATCGAGGGCGAGACTTTCCGACTGTCATACCAGAATTTACGAAGATTTTTTTGCTTGTTAGGATACTGAACGCAGATGAAGACAGTGTTACAAATGTTCACTTAACGAAACTGTTACACACCTGATGAAAAGTGTCGAGGTATTCTGGGCTCCATGCTTAGACAATGTTGTGGTTTTTCAAATGCTGGAATAACTGGTGACAACATATCGACCAAGAGGATTCCCATCGCCCATACAGTAGCCTCGCATCCGTCATATTTACCTGTCTTCATGAATTCAGGGGGCATGTAGTACTGCGTACCTAGAAGAATATTATTCATAGTAAGTTTACTTAAAAACAAAGAGAAAACAATATTCATTGAATATTTGCTCAGATTTAGCCTGCTTAATAGGCTGTTTTCGAAATTCAAAGCTACCAGAGGAATAGGAAGAAGAAATTAAATAAATTTGTGGAGGTTCTGGCCACCACCCGTACTCCTGGCTGCACCATATCCCTAGCTTCCACTTCCTCTCCCTAACTTGCCGTCACGTGACGTGATGCTAAGTACGACTTAACCAGATTATGTAATATTACGGGAGGCAAATTAAGATGATGAATATTAGCGAAGATAAGATAAGAAAGAATAAGGAAGCTTGCTTCGAAAAATTAAGGGTCATTTTCCTACAAGATCTTTGAACTGAGCTGGCTTTCTTGCTGAGATCTTTGATGTTTGAATGCGTCATTTATCTTTGTTATGTTGAGTTGAGACAACTTGAAACTGATTTCTCTGATGGAACAGTTCTTACCTCTAAAGCTATCAAAAGGCTCTTCTTGTATCTCAGATGCCAACCCAAAGTCAATCAACTTCACCTCATCATTTTTCAAATCCAGCAAAATATTATCAGGCTTGAGGTCGCGGTGTATAACACCTTTTTCTTCGCATGTGATGTTAGCTTCCAAGATCTGAGTGAAGTACCGTCTAACTTCATCTTCTGTCAGTGGGTTTCCTGCGGAGTTACGGTCCTGTATGACGTAAAAAAAGTCTTTGCAGGATTCTGGTCGTTCCATAACATAACAGTAATGTTGTTCTGTAAAGATGAGTTGGTAGATTTGGATGACGTTTGGGTGACGCACTCGACTCATCAGATAAGCCTCAGCCGGGATTTCTCTTCCTCTCAGCTGTAACAAGGGAGGGGAGACAGGACAAGAGGGTTGATACAATTTAAACTTACTTGGATCAAGTTTCACTTACAAAGTAAACGACAACAGGAATTTGCTGATTGTTTGGACTAAGCAGCTGTGATATATTTTGATACAGCACCATCAAAGACCAATCAACTTTCTACTCGCATCTTTCAGAGAATGCAATAGTTTCCGTGACGGTCCACGGCCGAGACAAATTTTTGATTGCCGATCAAGATAAATTAAATGTTTATTCTTATCAATGCAACTCTATTTGTAAGGTGAAGAGAAATTCGCGTAAGAAATGAGCAGCTCTCTAAAAACAAAATATCCGGCTAAAGAGCACGCTAACTAAATCACTACAATCCAATATTTAAAGTGCTCAAACATTACCAGTCAATCCCAACCTGCTTGTAACACGTACGAAAAAAGTAGCTTTGGGTCTTGAATCAGTTCACTTTTCTGCTTCAAAATTATCTCTTAGACACGACGGTCATTGTCGCTGAAGTTATTCACTGGATACTACACAATACGATTGTTATTGACGTTGTTATTTCTGTGATCCACGTTATTAAGTGGCGTAAACAAAAATACTAACATAAACTCTCTTACATAAACTAAAACTTTCACCAACCTCTTTAAACTCTTGCACTGAACTTCTCTTTACAAACTTAAGCGCCACCTAGGGAGAACGATTTACGTTGAGGTTTTATTTTGTTCTGTTTCTGTATATTATAAGCTACTAACCTCACGCATGCGCGAAATAGCCCCGATACCAACTTCCCAAAACTCACACTCCTCCTCCCTTCTCATTCCTTCCTTACTAAAACAGCGCAGTTATGTTAGATTGTTAGTTTCAAATATCGCGTTTAAGTTAGCGAGACGAGACTCCGGTAAAACTAAACTTTCTCGCCTAAGAGTACATGGAAATAAACCAAGCCAAGCTTTGAGTTCGACCATTTGCTCTGAGATTTAAAACTCTTCTTGAAACTCATTTTTTTTCTCGTTTCAGTCTCACGCTAAAAGATTACTTTACTCCTAGTAAGTTATAGTGCTCCTATTTAATACTCAGACACTAAGACACCTACAGGTTTATCATCCGACTTGCGAGTCGCAGCAACTACCTGACCAAATGAACCAGATCCAAGGAGTTTTCCTATCTCGTATTTCGCAAGATCAGCTAAAATTGAAGCGAAATGAGCAATCGATTAATTGAATATCGCAAGAACTATTTTCCAACAATTATTAAAATAACTATGAGGAAATATTGATACTGAATAATCGTCCACTTCATATGCTTCATAAATACCGTTTTCACAAATTATTTAGCACAAACTCAGCGGCTTCGACATAAACAAGAGCTGGCCTGGGTAAACATTATTTTCCAGTAAGGGTAGGGTAGGGAGGAGAGGTCCGTCACTAGCGCCTTACTAACATTTGAGATTAACAGAGCTGTCATATTGTAGAAAATCGTCAATTTTTCCTTGACTGATGGGGGAGCTATAAATTATGGAGGAGAGTGTCCGTGACTGCTTCCAACTCCCATAGGAAAAAAATCAATTCAGGAAAAGGAAGGATTTAATTCCTGTAATGAGAAAAATGGAATGAACATACCATCAGAAGAGGCCAGTTCCTTGATGTAGTCAGGAGGTTCAGTATTTTTAACTTCCTCCACATAACTGCCGTAGTTTGGCTCATAACTTGGTGACCATAATGGACAGTTACAATCTTTTAACCACTCGAGCTCATCAGGGTCCTGAGAACATAAAAACGTAACCATAATGTCAGATAGAAATGCTTCGAGTACTGGAAAACTCTGGCGTCAAAGAGGTCTCGTATTGTTAAAATGTGGCGAATTATTGCAGGTAAAAGAATTATTAAGTACATTTATGAAGTCTGTTTCCTTCAGAGATCATAAGCGATATTTTTAAGGGAAGAATAAGCTGAAATACTAATTTCTAAAGCCTTTGTCACTCTACTCCCGCGGAAAAGTGTTTTCTAACAACTGGTCAAAGGAACGTGGACTCTGAAAACGAGATCATCTCGATCAGGCTCTTCCCAATCCTCTCTCCTGAGATCATGCACTATTGTTGTAATTCCTAATTCCTCGTTTATCCTCGTCCAGGGGAGAGGTAGTGGGCGAAAGGCCACAAAACTACTGCTGATGAGTTGAGCGGGTCAAGTTTTGAAAACATTTGCACTTAAAGCATCTAAAAAACTGACTCAATTACATGAGTACAAGCATTTTTATCGTAGCTTTAGGTGCACAAGTATAAACCAGATATTTAAAAAGTATCTTGTTCTACTGTGAGATTAAATTTGGATGTGGATCAGGGTACTGGATTTAAGCTTAATCATCAATCTCTCATCTTGTTTTTTTTTTTTACCTCGTAAGCCTCATAATCAGGCAATTCTTCTCTGATATTATTTTCTTGCGGTGAGTTACCCTGACGCCTGGCTTCCGCACAACTTGACCTTTTTCTGTTAAGGTAAAAGAAGCAACAGTGTTAGCTATCCTTTCATTAAATGCAATTTTCAACAAGTGTTTTTGTTACTTACCTTGATATTTTGTAACTGCTGCAATGACCATCTTGTTTTTGTTTCCCGAGAAAAGCCTGTAAGAACATAAGGAAAGGTGACTCTCGCAGTTGGTGTGAAATTAACGCTTGATATTCACCTCTTGCTTTCTAATTATACAGCAACTTTCTCCTAGTCAGAAGTTGGTACTGGGTTACTATATTGTATTTTGCTCTTTATACGCGAGTACGATAAATAATACAATGTTTATTTCACCGATTGGAAATTTCGATGAGCTTATGCAAACGAAAGTTTGAACACTCAATCAGTTAAACATTTACTTACCCTGCTCTCGATTTCGGTTCGTTTTCTCACAGCGAGGGGATCACATTCTGCTTTCCGCTTTCTAGAGGGTCGTTCCGATTTCATTGCAGTCCAATGTACATTTTCATTTTTTTCTTCAGATGAGTTCGTTTTCTTAGGAAAGTTTTCTGAAGAAACCCCGCAGTTATTACTCTCTTGCAAGGAACTGGTCTGAGGCATGATGCCTACACAATTGGAGTTTTCCCTGAGAGGATAAAAAACTATTTACTTGAGTCCTTAGGTAACTAGCTGCTTAAGGTTTATGCCACGTGGTTCCTTTAACTTCTACATGCTTTCCATATCATCTCGTAAAAAGTTTTCTTCGACGCTGTTTTTCCGTTTCTATGAGAATCGTTTTCCAACAGAGAAAACTTGCTTTGCAATCAAACCAAAATACGTAACTCGGGAAAAAAGGTTTGCTTCACTAAATTTTTATCAAATTTTATCTCAACTTCTATACTAGAGCGCGAAACCAGTTTCTGAACACAGCAGGGAGACAGACATCAATGCTTTAGAGAACACGGAAGGATGCATGCAAATAATGCGGAGCTGCTTCATGATTTTGAAAGTTTCTCCATTTGCTCTCTGAGGATAGTACTCAAAGTCACGGAGAAACGAAAGCTACGTTAGCAAAATGAACAAAAGGCAGGTAGAAACTGTGTTAGTTTAAAATACACGTTTGAATTTCTCCAGATTAAAGTGCTGAACGGCAGAATAACAAAAACCGAGAACGGACAACCGTACGATTCGAGAGAGCCGTTCAATCTTTGGTTCAAGGACACGTGACACACGCTTGCTCTGATGGCATCTTCAACTAGCTTACACACACATTCCGTAACAACTTTTCAAAAATATGGTCAAACAAAAGCAAAGCAATGTCAACTTGGAGGCAACTACTCGCTTTCCCTATCAACAGCATAAAAATAACTTGTAACTGCCCTTACTGAAATTTTCTAATATCAAATTCAAAGGTTGACAATTTTTTCATTTACCTCGGTAGTTCAGGACTGCAGAAGAATCGTTGAGTCTTGGTAAAATTCTATAAAAAACAAATTCAAAACCAAAAATTAATTGTTTTTCAGTTATCACCATCGCTAAAATTTAAAGTTTACTGAAAACAAAATTCAAGGATGAAATCAACTTCACAAGTTGCGATACGACGCGTGACTTCATGAAATTAAATGTATCTAATTTGTTTCACCTTGCTAATCATATGATATTTTCTAATTGCTAATCATGTCAATTCATTTCGATTAGAAAGTCCTGCCTGGTTAAGAACCACTCTTAATTGTTTTAACTTACCTCGATCTCCCTCTCTGGCTGTTTTCTTTTACCCTCGGGAAGCGAATCAGTTCCCGCTTTGCGCTTTCTAGAGTTTTGGTCCGATTTCCGAATCGGATTTTCATTCATATTTTTGTTTTGACGTGACCTCGCCTTCTTTGGGAGGCGTGAAGTTCTCTTAGGCATGCTCGATCAGGGTCAGTGAGTCAACAAGCTCAACCTCGATTGCGATCAATTGTGCCTGTAAACCTTCTCTGTGCTCACGGCTAGCTTGTCAGTACACAACGACCAGGCTCTATTGAGAATTTCCAAACTCTAGCCTTGCGTCTCTGTGACGTGTTTTTTATGTTTAGCGCGCGCTTAAAAGTATTTAAGTGCGCGTGCTAAATACGGCTTTTATCTCCAAAGTTTCCGCCGAAGATCTTAAACATAAGTAAAATTTTGTGGCATGAACAAAATTAAAAAAAGGGAACTATAAGGTAAATTGAAAAAATATTTCATCTGAAACCTGGAACTTGCACAAATTTAAAAGCTTGATAGAATCTTAAACCCTTCCTATTTTGAACATAATATGATCAACCTTCGAAGAACGGGCCCATTTTGATTAATCATAAACAGGGCAGTTTCATTCATTTAACTGAAAAGAACTTCGTGAAATTGTTCTTTTCTGATGTCCTTTCCCATGGCAAGTGGACATTGTTGAAAGCATAGGGAGACACCTTTTT